GATCGAGCGAATAATTATTTTAGAAACATGGATCCAAATACACAAAATGATCAAGAAGAACCTCAACACGTCATTCATATGATCATCGGAGGGGTCGATATTCCCCATGGTCCGATGTTAAAGCGCACCAAAGTATCTATCACGAGGGAGAATCGGACTCGAGATTACATACCAGAAGGAACTTTATCTTTCAATGACAAAGATGTAGAAGGAATCATGCAGCCCCAAAATGATGCACTAGTAATATCCGTACTCATGAGTAAAACTCGAGCTAAATGTGTGTTAATTGATCCAGGTAGTTCGGCAAATATCATTCGATTGAGGGTCGTAGAACAACTTGGCCTACAAAACCAAATCGTGTCTACAACCCGAGTGCTAAACGGATTCAACATGGCTTGTGAAACTACTAAGGGAGAAATAACGTTACCAGTAAACGTAAACGGAACCATCAAGGAGACTAAGTTTTTTGTGATCTAAGAGGACATTAGATATAACTCCCTGTTCGGGAGACCGTAGATCCCCAACATGAGGGTTGTGCCCTCGACCCTTCACCAAGTGTTAAAATTCCCGGCATCGGAGGGGATTAAAATGATCTATGGGGAGAAACCCACCGCGAAGGAAATGTTTTTCGTCGATGAAGTAATTAAAACATCAACACTCTCATCGACAAAGGAGCCAGATTCGAAAGCAAAACAGCAAGCTAAATAGCAATCACTGATGCCGGCCTCGGCCCAACTAGACAAGCAGGGGACTGACAAAGACGATGAGTACGGGGTTCCTCGATCCTTCATAATCCATGATGATTCTGACGCTACCAAATCAATGGTCAAAAAGCTGGAGCAAGTCATACTGATCGAACATCAGCCCGATCGAAAGGTATACCTAGGCACGGGGTTAACTCCCGAGCTCTGGAAAAAACTTATTCAATTTCTTATAGCTAACATGGATTTTTTTACTTGGTCCCATATCGACATGATAGAGATCCCACCAGAGATCACCACTTATAAACTGAGCCTGGACCTAAAATTCCATCCGGTGAAGCAGAAAAGGAGACCCTAGTCCTAGACCAAGCATGCCTTCATCAAGGACAAGGTAACTAAACTCCTTAAAATAGGGTCCATCCGGGAAGTCAAATACCCGAAATGGCTAGCAAATGTAGTTGTAGTCCATAAAAAGGGAACAAACTGAGAATGTGTGTAGATTACAAAGATTTAAATAAGGCATTCCCCAAGGGTTCTTTTCCTTTTCCTAACATCGATCGCATGATCTATACCAAATGCGAATGAACTCGGATGATCAGGAAAAGACCTCTTTCATCACTAAGTATGGCACATACTGCTATAACATAATGCCATTTGGATTAAAAAATACTGGTGCCACATACCAACGCCTAGTAAGCCGGATGTTGGAAGAACAAATTGGGAAATCTATGGAATTTTACATTGACGATATGTTAGTTAAGTCCATGCGAGTAGAGGACCAATTAAAGTACAACATGAAGCTAAATCCGAAAAAATACGCGTTCGGAGTCGGATCAAGTAAATTTCTCGAATTCATGGTATCCAATCGAAGAATCGAGATCAACCCTGACAAGATCAAAGCTATCGAGGATATCACAGTACTGGAAAAAGGGAAGGCCGTGCAAAGAACAACCGGGCGCATTGCCGCCCTGCGGCGATTCATATCAAGGTCCTCCGATAAAAGTCATTAATGTTTCTCGTTGCTGAAGAAGAAAAACAACTTCACATGGACCCCGAAATGCCAGCGGGCCTTGGAAGAACTTAAGCGATATTTATCGATCCCACCATTGCTTCACACACCAAGAGTAGATGACCAAATATACTTGTATTTGGTTGTATCGGAGATAGCGGTAAGTGGAGTCCTAGTTCGGGAAGAACAAAGTATGCAATTTCCGATTTATTATGTTATCCAGACCTTGGGTGAGGCCGAAACGAGATATCCCCACCTTGAAAAATTGGCGCTCGCTTTGCTAAGGGCCTCTAGGAAACTGAAACTGTACTTTCAAATCCACCCTATATGTGTTGTGACAACTTACCCATTGCGAAATATAATGCATAAACCCGAACTCTCGGGACGATTGTCCAAAGGGGCCATGGAAATCAGCGGGTACGATATTGAATATCGACCACGGATAGCCATTAAGTCTCAAAGTTTGGCAGATTTCATGGATGACTTCACGCCGGCTCTAATATCTGAGGTCGAAAGAGAGTTGTCGATAAACTCGGGGATGTCGTCGGGAATCTGGGCCCTCTTTATGGACGGTGCATCGAATACAAAGGGGTCCGAACATGGCATCGTACTGAATCCACCCAGAGGCAACATAGTTAGACAATCTATTAGAACTGTGAAATTGACTAACATCAAGGCCGAATATGAGGCCATGATTGCAGGTCTCGAACTGGCCAAAAGCTTGGGGGTGGAGATGATCAAAGCTAAGTGTGACTCCCTCCTTGTGGTGAATCAAGATAATGGAACGTTCGAAGTTAGAGAAGAACGAATGCAAAGGTACCTAGATAAGTTACAGGTAACGTTACATCGGTTTAAAGAGTGGACTTTGCAACACGTACCTCGAGATCAAAATAGTTGGGTCGATGCCCTTGCAAACTTAGGGTCGTCGGTCGAAGACGACGAGCTCAACTCGGGGGAAGTTGTACAACTCATGAGGTCAGTAAAAGAAGAAGGCCGTGCCGAGATAAACTCCACAAGCTTAACCTGGGATTGGAGAAATAAATACATAGAGTATTTGAAGATCGGGAAACTTCCCTCAGATAAAAAAGAATCGAGGGCCATGAGCACAAAGGCAGTCCAATTCAGTATGTCCGAGGATGAAACCTTCTTCAGAAAAATGTTCGATGGACCACTAGCAATATGTCTGGGACCGGGAGATACCGAGTACGTCCTGAGGGAAGTTCACGAGGGCACTTTAGAAAATCATTCAGACGCCGATTCATTAGTTCAAAAGGTGATCAAAGCCGGCTATTACTAGATCGACATGGAAAAAGATGCGATGGATTTTGTTCGAAAATGTGACAAATGCCAAATATATGCTCCAATGACTGCTACATTCGGTCTTGTCACCATGGCCATTCATGAAGTGGGGAATGGACATCGTCGACCCCCTTCCATGGGCCCCAGGTAAGGCTCAATTTATCTTATTTATGACTGACTATTTTTCTAAGTGGGTTGAAGCGCAGGCATACGAGAAGGTTAGGGAGAAGGAAGTCATCGACTTCATTTGGGACCACATCATATGTCGGTACGAGAAGCCATCCGAAATTGTGTGTGACAATGGGAAACAGTTTGTTGGTAGCAAAGTGACCAAGTTCCTAGAAGATCAAAAGATCAAAAGAATCTTATCGATACCTTATCACCCTAGCGAAAACCGGGCAAGCCGAATCAACCAACAAAACTATAATCCAAAACCTTAAGAAAAGGTTTATTGACGCCAAAAGGAAATGGAAGGAAATCCTGTCCGATGTTCTTTGGGCATACCGCATGACTGCGAAGTATGGTACCAGGCCTACTCTGTTCTCATTGGTTTATGGAACTGAAGCCCTAATACTGGTCGAAGTTGGGGAGCCAAGTATGATATTCCAATATGCAACAAAGGAATCAAATGACAAGGCCATGAATACGAGCTTGGATCTATTGGATGAAAGGCATGAAGCAGCCCTCGTTCGATTGGCTGCCCAAAAGCAACAGATCGAGAGGTATTACAATCGAAGGGCCAACCTTCGATGCTTCAATGTCGGGGAATTAGTACTAAGGAAAGTCACAGTAAACACCCAAAAATCTGAACGAAGGGATGTTCAGTCCGAACTGGGAAGAATCGAACCAGATTCTCGAGGTCACCGGAAAGGATCCTATAAGCTCGGAATGATGAACGGAGAACAACTACCAAGCAATTGGAATGTAACTCACCTAAAACAATATTACTACTAAGGTACGACCCCATTCATTTACTTTTATTTCAGACTAACACTTGCAGGTGATCGACAAGAAGCGGCACAAAGTTTTAGGCCTGAAAGCATGCGTTGCACTCTTTTTTCCTTAGACCGGTTTTGTCCCAAATGAACTTTTCAGCAAGGTTTTTAACGAGGCAACAATGGATCATGCTAACTTAGAATCAAAGAACGATTATGAATCAGTGTCAAAGATTGCATTAACAGTATCTGAGGTTCCTCTACAATCAACCTTGAATACTGGGGGGTATTACCCTCGGATATGCATTACCTTCGGATATCAACATTAGCGAGGAAATTACTTCATAAAGGAAGGGTCTCGATAGGTAGGATTTATTGTAAGGGAAAATGGTCAAACGGACTGTGCCCACATAGATTTCTCGAGCCCTGGCATAAAACATGTATGCATATATAACTGTTTTGCACAAGAATAAAGAGAAGTACTTTCCTTGCAATCATCTTATGTTTTAAGCATTCCCTCTTTAAATACCTTAAAGAATTCCATACTTCCGATCTCATAAAGGTAACGATCTCAAGGGCCTCTTATGACCGGAGTACAAATGATCACTCCCTCACTCAGGGACTCTTGTCTAAAAACAAACTCGAACGGCCCAAGTCACTAGGCCTCGGGGGCATAAGACCTATTAGGCAACCCCCCGATTTTTGAAGGCCACGGCGACCCCATTCGGGGAATGTTATCTTGGGCATGCCTGGATAGCTCGGTAAAGCAAGTCCAATGGGCAGATCCTAAACTAAAAAGCTACGGCCATATTGAGATGGCTCAAAGACGTCTTAAACCCGTAACAAAAACTAGGCCTTCGACAAAGAAACATTTTCATAACCGGTTCTAAAGGCTACCCTCGGAAAACTATAATTTCGCCTACCTACTTTGGGAAAAGGTTTCCGGCAACACCGAACCCCCAAAACGCCTTAAAATAGAGTAATGTAAAGGCAAGGTTTGTTTGAACTTTCNTCTCAAAAAGATGCAAAAAGCAAAAAATAAAAACATCTAAAGGACTAAGTGGCCTGGTCCTCATCGGGGGCAGCGTCTTCATCCTCGGGATCTTCACCACCTTCAAATTCGATTAAGCTCTCGGAATCTTCCTTGGGAAAAGACAGCTTCCGGACCCTGGCTTCTTCTACTTTAGCATTCTCGATTTCTGCCAGTATGTCAAAGATCTGATCATGGACTCCCTCGAGGGCTTCCCTTTGAGCTTGCCACCTTGCATGCTCCACCATGCTTTTGGCCTGCGCTTGAATCGCCTCGACATCAACCTTTAATTGGGCCCCTTTAGCATCAGCCTTGGTCTTGGCCACAACCACCTCTGATCTGGCCGCCTCGAATTCCTTGGCCAGACTCTCTTGACCAGAAACGACCGAGTTTAGCTTAGATTGGAGCTCCTCGATCTTCTTGATATACACCAAGGTTTTCTCTTTTGCATCCCGAAATTAGGCCTCGGCCGACGCCAGTTGTGCTTGGACAACTTCCTTTTCTGAGGTTATGAGATCCATATTTTTCTTGAACTCCTCGGCCTTAGCTTGTATCCTGTCTACCTGCGCCTGGAGCTGCCCGATTTATTCAAGCCTTTGTTGAACTTGCAAGATCGGATCGTTACCTACTGAATCCATTCCGTCGTCACTATCTTCAAGTACTCGATTTACCTGCTCGGCCCACTCGGCATGCTCCTTCCGAGCCGCTTCTAACTCGGCCTGAAGTTTCTCACTCAGAAGCTTATAAGTGTCCCTCTTCTCAGTAAGCTCCCGAACCTCGGCCTCGTGTTGGGCTAACTCCTCCCGGTATCGGAGGAAAGTCTCATGGTGTAGTATTGAGGCCTACAAGCATAAAGAAAGGGTTAGGATTATTTGCAACTTCAAATTTAATATACATAATAAAGGGACACTCGAAGTTACCCGATTCAAAGACTGTTGAGCTTCATTGAATAGGCAGGGCGCTTCCACCGCTTCCATCACGGCCTGGTCCTATTTGGTCACCAATCACCGAAGGTAGCTAGAGACCCCCACAGGGGCAGATAAAACCCGGGCATCCTCCGAGATAGAGAAAACTATTGACCACCTTCAATCAGGGTTAACGCTCGGGATCGGGAACCGATCCACCAACTTTGGGCTTGAAGAAGACCTACTGGCCCCCAATGATGGTACCTTCTTTGGATCCAGCAAGTCACCAAGCCCAGTGACATCCTCAGAAGCTGTGGACTCTACCCCATCCATGAAGTTGTGGATATTTGTCGCCCCCTCTCATAAGAATGACCTTCTAGCATACTGGCCTTATTGATCATGGCATCTGAGAATTGAGGAGACTCAGTAAGGTTAGTCGCCCCAAGCGCATCTTTCGGGGAACTTTCCTCTGTTGGAGAAGTGTCAGCCCCGGTCTTCCTCTCGACTCCCCTAGCTTGGTGCAAAGTAGTCGCACCCCATTCATGTTCGAAATCATCCCTCAGTTGCCGGATTAAGTCCGATGGGAGGGCGCTGATTATTTCTTTGGGTTTGCGTGCTTGCCTCTTTTTCGATTTATGCTTCTCCGAGTTCGGGGATCTCGGGGACTTTTTTCTTCTCTTCTTATCACCCTGCCTCGGGGCAGGGGACTCGAGAGGCACATCGTCATCACTGGATGGAGGCCTCATAAAAACATCCTTGAGGAGACCTACAAAACAAAACATAACCGATCGGAATTCTATAGCGCAAGGAGAAAGTAAAACATTATTGAATCAGAAAAGAAAACTTACCATGATTCCGGGCCTCCCACTGACCCTTCGACAGTTCCATCCATGCATGCTCGGAATATGGTCTTTGTGACACAAGGTCCTCGACCCACTCCTTGGGTTGGGAAACGGCATCCGGCATCTGAGCCATAGCTGTACCATAAAAACACCGATAATAAGGGAGAGAAGGGGAGAAGCAATAAATAAAATCTTTAAGGCGAAGTTCTACATACGCTTCATGTTCCATTTCTCGGGAAATGGCATGTCCTCGGCAGGGATCAAGTTTGAAGTCCTTACTCGAATGAACTGGACCATCCAGCCTCGGTCCCGAGCCTTATCTATACTCGAGAACGGGGCGTTACTGGCCCGATGAGCAAGTTTGATTAATCCCCCTCGATAGAGTCGGCGACTGTACAGGCGCATAAGATGATTGAGGGTGAAGGGACACCCCTCAATTTTGTTTACAAAAAAGTGGAGAAGAATCACTATGGTAAATTTGACCAAGGGTCACCTCATACCTCTTCAGAAGGAGATAATGACCGGGTCTAAGTGTAAACACTTAAAAAAAACCTCCACGTGGGTAGTAATTTCTTCCTTAGGCGAAGTCGCCACCACATGCTTGTCGGCCCAGTTGCAATCCTCTTTGATCTTGGAGATGAGATAATTGGTGATCGTACATATATATCTCGAGACCGGCTCGCATCGACCCGGTACCGAAGAATGTTTTTCGATCTTGAAATCAGCAACAATCGGGCACCCTACAGGAATGAACTCTTCAGGATGTGGTTCTGCCGCAGTCCCATCGCCGGCAGGTCGTGATGAAGAGGCGACATCCTTTTGTGGGATAGTCTTTAGATGTTTTTGCCATTTTAGTGTAGAGATAAAGAATAGGAAATTTAGAATATACGCTTAGTGGTTTGCAAAAGGTTCAAGAAATTTGGGTACAAAAGTTAGAGAGTGAAGGGATTTTTGAAGAACAAGAATAGAAGGAGCTTTGAACATAAAGTTTGAATGAATGAAAGTTGAGGTATTTATAGTCTTCTAATGACGGTTCAAAACCCGTAGTGGACGACCAACAACTGACAAGCATTTAATTCCTTTCTAACTGGACCAATGAGACGTTTCAATAATCATTTGTCGCTTATATCATGATCGGATGTTTCAGTAACCGTTTGTCGCTTACGTCATGATCCATCAAAGCAGAATTCGGAAGTGCATATTGTTTCTCATCATCTTCTCTCTACAAAATGAGGGGACTATCTGTATACAGTCGAAACCGGGTTCGCCTATTATGTGACCAATCAAGACTGATGCGCGACAGGCTAAAGCTCTATCTCAGGTTATATCGAACCAAGGGGGCAAAGTCAAATCGTTAAGCTCGTGACCCTAGGACCGAACAAAATTGAGACCAAACAAGATCGAGGGAAATTTGCTAAGCCGAATAACAGAAGGCCAAAATATACGTGATTGGTTTGGGATCATGGAAAAAATCCCGACACGTATCAAGGAGAGGCCGATTAATTAGCAAATCATGAGATTTTGTTTACCTTATATAGAATTGTATCAAGAGTAGGGCTCCCCTACTATAAAAAGGGGGGTCTGATTATTTGTAAGGGACATTGCAATACGCATCACAAACAAATATACTGTTATTTCTAGCCTTTATCATCTTGTTATTATATTCTTACATCAGTTAATGTATTTCTTGGTTCGAGGGTGATCGAACTCGAAGGCCAAGGCTGTTCAATTTGTGTGGTTTTCATTTATTCTTTTATGGTCAATTTCAATATTAATCTTTTTTCTTAATTTGTATCAAGTTATATCATGTATCCATAAAAACGTGTATAAATTCAATTGTTCTCCAATTTTGAGGGTAAACAAGTTTTATTTATGGATTGAAGTTATTTTGACTAGATTTGAGCCGTCCGGAGGTTGTTTCACTTGAGAGGGCCATTTTAAAGTATCAGTCTTTCTCCTTTGAGTTAAGTATCTTGACTAACTTTGTGTGGGGGAAATTACCCCTTTGGATTTGAGTCTTTGCTGCTAATTATGTCATGTGAAGTCCGTGTACGCGAGGTGACGAGTAGGTGCTCGGGCTTATTTGTGGAAAGTTGACCTTTTACCGCTCTTAGGTTCTTACGCTCATTAGATATGAAGTTGTTTTGTTATGTTAAGTTCCCCATCTACGTGTTTTAATTGGAATTAATTGTTTCATGTTCCACTCTTATTGTCTATTTGACTCTTGTGTGCTTAAAACTGAAGTTGTTGCCTCTTCGATTGCCATGCTATCCTTTCCTAATTGCTTATCCTTAATTGAAATCATTATTATCTCTTCTGTAATTTTCTATCCTTATTTAAGGTTATGATTATTTTTTCTGTTTCTTATCCTTAATTGAATTTGTTGCATCTCTTCGTAATTTCTCAACCCTAAATGAAGGTTAGTCATCCTTTTTCGTAGTTGCCTCATCCTTATTTGGAATCATTTGTTACATATTATTTTTTTCCTTGTTGAGCCATTCTTACTGAGACTAGTATTCCCTATTGTGTTTATTCTTTGTGAGCTCGTTCTACCGTTTCTTTGTGATCCAAAGCTATTGAGTTGATTTACTTGTCGTATTATAGTGCTATTGTTGTTATTGTTGCTGTTGTACTCAATTTTGTTGAGTCGATGGCTATGTGTAGTTGTGGTATTGACACTGTTTAGATGAAATGTTGTGGAATATGGACACATGTTGTGTAATTCATTCTATTGTGATGTTGTATTTTTGGCACGTGATATTGTTGGGAGGTTTTGTTTGGGTGTTTGCAAGAGGTTTCTGCCGTGCTATTGTTACTATTTATATTTGCACATGTGGCGTGACAAGGCGGGCTATATATATGGGTTTGTGTATGTGGTGATACAAGGTAGGAATATTATTATGCACGTGCGGCGAGACAAGGCGAGCATTTACTTTATTATTGCCCACGTGGCGAGAAAAGGTGGGCTATGTCGGGGATTGATTTATGATGACTTGTGATGGCCTGGGGGCATTGTTGTTGTTGATATTTGTGTAGTGGCATGCCTAACCTGTGTGTGTTTTAGTTGGTGCAAATGGTGGGGATCATTTCTTATGTGCCATTCATTTTCTCTAGTCTTATTCGTTGGCCCGAACTGTGATAGAACACTTGCACAAGCATACACGTACTTTATCACCCTATCAGTTTAAGAAGATGAACACTGATGCTACCGATCATTAGTACGTACTCCGTCTACTTGTCTTATATGTGAGAATTATTCTATTGACACGTGAGTCATCCGTGCAATTATCAGTTGTAATGAGGGCATAAGATGCCAAGTGATTAGGGTTCATGAATTGGGACCCGTAAATTGTGGGAGTTTTGAGGTTTGGTACCTCATGGGGATTATTGAACAAACCTGGTGCAAAAGCGGTTATTCTTATCAAGTTTCTACTTGTCTTTCCTTTATTTGTTTTCACTGAATTTAAACTGTCTCCAGCTTACTCTACTGTTATTACTTGTAGCGTCTCGGTGCTAATTGTTGCTTCTATTTCCTATTTCAAGCACCGTATTATTGTTTTCATTATGCGTAGTTCTGTAGAGATATCATACTCTATTAGTTCTATACCTATACTTGTTCAGGTTATCTAGTCCAGTAGGTGTCTTGACTGTCCCTCGTCACTACTCCACTGAGGTTAGTCTTGATACTTACCGGGCATTGCTGTGGTGTGCTCATACTACACTTCTGCACATTTTTGTGCAGTTCCAGGAAATTCAGAGTCAGTCGATCGCTAGCTAGTTGTACAGATCTTGCCGTGGAGACTTAAGGAAAACCTGCTGCTGCGTTCACAGTCCTCGGAGTCACCTTTTGTTATTGTACTTGCATTGTTTATCTTTATTTCAAAACAGTTGTATTTAGAGTTTTTTGTAGCAAACTCAATAGAGCTTATGACTTATACTTCCAGTTTTGGGAATTGTAATGGTGAATAAGATTTTTATCTCATACTCTTCGTTTGATGGTTGATTCTTCAATTAATTCAATAAGTGTTAGGCTTTCAGAGCCCTAGGTTCATAGGTACTACGAGTCATAAGCGAGTTTAGTAGAGTCTTGCGGATCGGTACGGAGATGTCTGTACTTATCTTCGAGAAGCTACGAAACTATTAGGACAATTTCACTTCTTTCATTCCTATCGTTCTAGTTTATTCATCTCGGAGTTTGAGCTACAGTTACTGATGACGTTGCCCCCGGAGCAGGTGTCGCTAGGGGTATAGGCAGAGGTAGAGACCGACGAGGAGTATGTGTCGTAGCCAGGGCACCTACCAGAGCAGCAGTTGAGGAGCCGCCAGTAGCTCCGGTTGGGGGGCAGGTACCATAGGCACCTACTGTTGCCCCCGGAATCGAGGAGACATTAGCACAGATCCTGAGCATGTATGGTACATTGGCTCAGGAGGGGTTTATTCCGGTTGTGCCAGCTACTTCACAGATCGGGGCAGGGATTCAAACTCCCGCCGCCCATACTCTAGAGCAGCGAGTCCAGATTGGTCAGGTTCCAGGTGTCATGGCGACTCAGCATGTTGTCCCAGATTATCCCATAGTTAGGGCCGCAACATGTGAGGAAGAACAACTTAGACTTGCAAGGTTCGAGAAGTATGACTCTCCTACTTTTAGTGGTTTGGCTTCAGAGGGTGCACAAGGTTTTCTAGAGGAGTGCCACCGCACACTATGGGTATTATGGAGACGAGTGGGGTTGATTTTACTATGTTCTAGCTTAAGGGAGTGGCATATCAATGGTTGTGAGCATATGAGTGGGGTAGCCCAACCAATGCAACTTCACTTTCATGGGTTCAGTTTTTAGCGATGTTTCTGAGAGAGTTTATTCCTCAGACCCTTCAGGATGCATGGCGCACGGAGTTTGAGCAGCTGCGCCAGGGCACTATGTCCGTGTCAGAGTATGTCATTAGATTCAGTGATTTGTCCAGACATGCACCTACCTTGGTCGCTACAGTTAGAGAGTGAGTTCGTAGATTCATTGAGGGGCTCAGACATGATATCCGGTTCACCATAGCTCGGGAGTTGGAGTTAGATGTTCCATTTCAGCAGGTGTTGGAGATCGCTTGCCAATTAGAGGGCATGTGGGACCAGGAGAGAGAGGA